TTAACCCTTATTACATTGTAACAGCTAAGGCGAAGCCCCCATCGACCTGAGTGACCTTGAGTTGGCCACGCCCACACGATCACATGATCACCGAACCCCACCTACCCAGATGGTCATTAGGTCAGAGAACCGGTTGTTAAATTATTTGAATCTCACCACTGCAGGAAACCCTATACCATTTCATACAAATAGCTATCTAATATCTTCTTAAAGACTTTCAGTGTTGGGGCATTCACAACTTCTGGAGGCAACTTCTGTTCCACTGATTAATTGTTCTCACTGTCAGGAATTTTCTCCTCAGTTCTAAGTTGCTTCTCTCAAGTAAACACAGGGAGTCCTCAACTTGGGACAATTGAGCCCAAAATTTATGCTGTTAAGTGAGAAATTGAGTTTTGATCCACTATGCGACCTTTTTTTGGCTACATTCGTTAAGTGAATCACTGCAGCTGTTAAATTAAATAACATGGTGGTTAAGTGGATCTGGTTCAAACTCTGGGGCACTGCAACCATCATAAATGTGAGTCAGTTGCCAAGCATCTGAATAAAAGTCATCACATGAGCATGGGGACGCTGCAATGGTCATAAGTGTGAAAAACGGTCCTAAGTCACTTTTTTTCAGGGCTGTTGTAACTCCAATCACTAAGTGAACTGTTTGTAAGTTGGGGACTACCTGCATTCATAAGTATAATTGGTCAAAAGGAGGCACCCTTGAATTCAATGGGGCTCCACTGGGGATAGCAGCTCAATCTTAATATTTTACTTATAACTTCCATGTTCTTTAATCAAAGCATTGGGTGACAATTCAGTCATATTCTGTAATATTTGCATTGTGGTTTGCCTACTGTCTAATGCACCTTACCTTCACGTTAAAAACAAATTAGAATCATAGAATCATAGTCACCTTGTGTTACACATTAGGGGCAAATATAATAATAAAATAAATAAGATGCTAGACAGAGATATATAGCGGAAGGTACCTTGGAGGTCTTCTAGCCCAACACTCTACCCAAAGCAGGAGTTCTTATATCATCCCCTAAGGTTGACTCAGCCTTCCATCCTTTCGAGGTGCGTAAAATGAGGAGCCAGGTTGCTGGGGTCAAAGTGCTGACTCTGTCGACCGCTTAGAGAGGGCTGTAAAGCACTGTAAAGCGGTATATAAGTCTAAGTGCTATTGCTGTTCCAGACAAACGAATAGCAATAGCAATAGCAGTTAGATTTATATACCGCTTCATAGGGCTTCCAGCCCTCTCTAAGCGGTTTACAGAGTCAGCATATTGCCCCCCAACAACAATCCGGGTCCTCATTTTACCCNTATTTAAGGAAGGATGACACCAAGAAACTTGCTTTCCTTTACAAGAGGTAGCAACAATCAAAGCCCTGTTTTAATGCTGGTCTTCGAAAATCAAAGAATAAGAAGCAAAACAGCTACAAATCATGGCCTTGTCCCTTTCTCTCCTTGCTTTTGCAGCATCCATCTGCAGAATGCAGACTTCAGCTTCTCCGGCATAGTCACTTTAACATCCCTTGTTCTGCCTCACCACTAACCCAACAGGACCTTGCAGGTACATCCACCTGGCTCCTGCAGATCATATTATATACCTGATCCTCCTTCTCAGAGCTTCCCACACAGGTTCTCACAAAACACAAACACACAAACACACACACACACACACTTCACAAGCAGGCATCCCAGCCTCTTCCCAGTCCTGAAATCAGGGACCAATCTCCCACCCATGTCTAATGCCAGAAATCATGAGCCTCTAATGAGGTTACCTCCAAAACCCATCTCAATGCCCCAAGCATCCTCCTCACAGGAGAGCCCGTACCCCTGCTCCATACAGCCCCCTAAATAAAAACCCTGGCTGCTCAAATATCGCAGGCCTCATCGCAGAGCCCCCCCCCCCACCTCTTTGTCTCCGCAAATAACCCTGGTCACATCTCTCCTTCCCTTTCGGTCCAGCCATTCGATGTACGGAGACATTTCCCACCTGTACAAACACACGGCCTGGTATCCCACAGCCCAGCTGTCACTCGAACAAAAGGCGAGCCCTCTCTTCTCCGAGCCATGGAATGCAGGCTTAATCTATAGGCAAAGAGGCCGTTCCCCTATAGATGCCTTCCTCCAAACAGACCAATCTTGTTCCCATGCACAAAGACAGCGCTGTCCTCATCCCAGCATCTCCCCGGTTGCCTAAACATGCACGCACCTGTCAGGAACTCTCAGCATCTCATCCTTCTTTTCTCAGAGGCACAACATTACCCCACCCCGATGACAGGCTGCTGTGGAAGGGTGATAACCTGGGGAGCTGAAAAGGTAGGATCTGCTGGGCCTTTCACAGCAGACAATAGAGGAAAGCACCTTTGAAGCCCTTGTCCAGTAGGTTCTCCCCCCCTTGGTTCTCCTAGCCCATCCCAGCCTCCACAAATACGCACCTGAGCGTGCTGGCAATACTCCGCTCACCTCAGCATCCCATCCGGTAGGCCCCAAGTGATGGAGGGAAGGAAGGAAAACCAATTCGGCTAGAGGAACCGGCCAGCAGCTGCCTGTGCGGGAGGAACACCGCGCGCTGTTCCCTAGTCACTGGACTGCCTCTCCTCTTTGCAGAGAGCCTGAACGAGCCGTGGGCTCAGCCTCCCTCATCAATATGCATTAACTCTCAGATGCGGATGGGTAGCAACGACCCTCTCTCGCTTCCGAGCTGGATGCCAGGCCCCTCCAAGAAGAGGGACAGCCTAACGAGAATCCAGAGACGTGGAGATGAGGTAGGAAATCTGGGAGGTTTGAGGAAGGCAGAAATCTTCGCCCTCCTTTATGCACAGCATGCAAAGCGAAGTGGCAAAGACGACTCCAGCCGTGCCTCTTCAGAAAAGAGCTGCATCATTTGGGGGGCCCCACCCCTCCCACGGATGGAGTCACGCAGATAGAAAGAACTATTTGAAGCAGGGCCCGAGCTAAAGGGTCTATATCTGCTGTCTGACGAGGCTTTTACAGAAGTAGAGGAATGAGCTACAGTATTACGCTGCAGAGGGGGAAAATTGTGTCATGCAGCTGTGTTTTTGTTTCTATTTTTCCTGCAAAAGGAACGTAAATAAGAAAATTGTGGGGCAGATCACAAGGAGCGACCAGTGTGATTCTAGGTATCCTCTTCCCAAGGCAAAAAACGGCTGAAGTCAAGAGACGGGGTTAGAATTTCAAACTTGAACTCTTAATGGCGGATTACTCTGATCTTCGCAAACGTTGCTGCCGTTGGACAAAATTGGGTATTTAAAAAAAGGTGTTTCCAAATTCATATTTTGGGGCTGCAACAAACTAGTGGCCCGTCTTCCCTTCCACCCTGCCCAGGGTTGATTTCTAATGTTTCACTGGTTTGCATGATGTTTTCTAGAGGCCCAAGATAACAAAAAAAAATATCAAACAAATAAGATGCAGCAGTTCTCAAAATAGCATCTCCACTCAACCCCTCTGCTTGTTTCTCCTAAAACACCCTTTGTGTTATGTCACCGCTTGTTTTTCTGCTAAATCAAGCTTGTCCAAGCAACCTCACATTTCTCCCTCTTCGTTCATTGATGTTTTTCGCAGGCTCAAAATGGGGATTAAGTGTGCTGACTCTCAAAAGAGAGGTTTCTCTGGTTTACCAGTTTGAAAACAAGTTTGACTGGTGGTATTTTTGTAATCTTATTCAGGCCCCACAGTCAACAATCTAACAGTATTTAGGGTGAGTGCTCCAGTCTCGATATCCTTTGATGACGTCATGGAGGACTTCAAAGGACTTACCTTGAAATTCAAGCCAAAGCAGAAATGCATAGTTTATGAACCAAATACATGCACTCCTATTTAACTCTGCCTAAATATGGATGTCTTTCAATCTCTCTTCCATGGGTTTCCATCATCCAAGAAAAAAACAGACGGACCACAGAAGGGCCTTCTCAGCAGTAGCCCCGGCCCTTTGGAACGAGCTCCCCGTGGAGATTCGTACCCTCTCCACCGTCCAAGCCTTCCGCATAGCCTTGAAGAACTGGCTCGCCCGTCAGGCCTGGGGATAAGGATAGTTACCCCTCCCGAATGATGAATGTATGTTGCCTACCATTTTATTATATGTTTCTATCTTGATGTTTGTATTCCCCCCTTCCCAGTTTTATGTGAGCCGCCCTGAGTCCCCTCAGGGAAAAGGGCGGCCTACAAATTCTAATAAAACTCAAACTCAAACTCCCTGTAGCATCCCATTTGGGAAATATTCTCCTGTGGACCATCTGTCCAATTCTATTACCTTCCCCCATCGTGCAGCTGCATTTTTTTTTTATTGTAGTAGTCATCTTATTGGATTTGATGGTACTTTGGGCTCACCGTGCTTGACCTTCATTTGGTTGAAAGGCAATATTTATAAAGGTAAATAAACGGCAGCAGAGACAGATTAAAACACCTGCAATGGATAGCTACAGTGAAATCTGAATTTGAGAAACAATGCTCACTCCAGAGCAGTGGTCACCAACCAGTGGTCCATGGACCACTGGTAGTCCGCCAGAAAATTTTGGTGGCCCGCAGAAAAATTATTTGCATTTTTATACTGCACTAAATACTATTTTATCTTTTTAAAAAAAAAATCAAATTAACGGTCTGTGGGACTTAAAATTATGAATTTAGTGGTTCCTGAGGTCCGAAAGGTTGGTGACCTCCAGAGAACTATTCAGGGTGGAGAACAAAGGCAATATGAAATAGTTCATCAGAAGCCTGAATATTTTCACAACTGCAAAGTGGCGTTGTGGGTTAAGTTTGGTTTCTTCTATCAAGCATAAGCCTGCGCTGAGAATGATTGTAAACATAAAAGGGAGTGAAGAAACTTTTTGAAAGAACGGCATGAACAGAGAGATATCTGAAGAGAACATCTGAGTCCTCTCATTGATCATTCCGCCTCCCCCCCAAGCTGTATATAGTATGTGCAGTACACAGGTAATCCTCAACTTATGACAATTGGGACTAGAATTTCTGTTGTCCAGCATGATGGTTGTTAAGTAAATCATGACCAATTTTCCAACTTTTTTGCCAGTTAAGGAAATCACTGCACTCGTTAAATGAATCATGCTGTCATTAAGCAAATCCGGCTTGCCCCATGGACTTTGCTTGCCAGAGGTCGAACGAGGTCGCAAACGATGATCACGTGACCTCATAATCCTGCAACCATCCTCAATACAAGCACTCAGATTCAAAGGCATATTGAACCTAAGTGTCAGGCCCAGTTCTAAGTTTTCAGTGCCATTGTAACTTCGGTCACTAAATGCATGGTTATAAGTCAAGGATTACCTGCACATACGTGCCTGTTTCAGCAGCAGTAATGAAGGGATGGACTTGAAGGCATTGGGGGGAGGGAAAGAGTCAAAGATGCAGAAGCAGCTATAATTTCAGAGACGCACTAGAGGTTTGTGCGCAAATAGGCAGGGGGTCCTATTGGCGCTTTCTTTGAAAAATGGATTAGCCTCCATCAGGAACCACGATGAGCCGTTCTGATATTTCAAAGCATTTCACCTGGCCCGACAGGTACAACAGTCCATCAGACGAGTGTTATTTGAAGGACATGTTACTGTCACCACATATCAATCCCACTTTCATCATGGGCAGTGAGCCCAAATGGTTACAGAGTCTTCCTGTGAACACAACTATCAAAAATTTAAAAAAAGAAAGCCTCCATTTATTGCCTCAAGGCTACGTCAGGGCCCTGGGAATGCTAAATCGTTTACTCAAAGGTAAACGAGAATGGCAGGCAGTACTGTACTGACGTTTCTATCACAATCTTGTCCATATTATACCTGGATGGTTTTTGCTGTACTTACAATACAATAGCAGAGTTGGAAGGGACCTTGGAGGTCTTCTAGTCCAACCCCCTGCCTAGGCAGGAAACCAGTGGTGGGATTCAGCCAGTTCGCACCTATTCGGGAGAACCGGTTGGTAACTTTCTAAGTGGTTCAGAGAACCTGTTGTTGGAAGAAATCTCCTTTTGTTTTTTCCACTTTACAGGGCTAATCCTGTAAGGAAGGTGGGAAGGAAACATTCTAGTGTTGTTTCTATCCTAATCTTTATTGCCCTGCTTACAGAAACTGCCTATCCGGTTACCCCGAATA